ATAATAATAACCAAGTCATTTCTGAAAGCAAGATTAGAAGAAAGAAGGCACTGTAAGGCTTAGTTTAAATTATCCCCTTCTCTCTGTAAATCAGAGGAGAGTGGAATTAGTTGGACAAGGACACACCCTGAGAGTGAGGAAAGGGAGATGTGGAGAAAGTGGGAGGCACTGAGTGAAAAGCCTTGGTGGAGTGTGAGAAATGGAGCTGGCTAGGCAAGGACTAAGATTGGGATGACAGACCTATGAAACTGTGACTTCAGCAAAGCATCAAAAGCATACAACGTGCAGAACTGGGATAGCAACAGGTTGGACAGGAAGTTCTAAAAGCAGGCACTGGGGGATCATCTAAAGGTGCAAACGTGAAAGCAAAATAACTAAATTTTAACTCTTGTATCTTCAATACATATTCAAAATGAAGGCGTCCCAAATTCTGCTTATTACAAATCTTCATTCTCTTAGTCCTCAGGAGACAGCATCTAATTCATTCCCATGTTTTAAATCAATTCACTGGTAAACCACACCAAATTTTCAAAATTTGAAAGACTCGAGACCTCATTTTTCAGGGTATATAGATTATGCAGCATGGGAAAGTTTTATCTAAGGCACAGTTCCCATTCACCTCAGTTCCAGATGCAATCACTCAACAATTCTGAAAATCAGACCACAGCTCACTGAGTCAGGCCCTCAGAAAATAAGGAAAATCATTAATGATCACCTGTGAAAAGTTTTGCCTACTAAAAGCACAGGGACTTTGTGAAAGAAGGGCTAAAATTCAAAGCAACATTCTATTCCTTACCCATAAGATTGTTCTTCCTTTTCCTGCAATCCCCTGCCTTATTCACTCTACACCTTCCCAACTGCTGCACTCCTTTAATCTCCTTCTCTATGCAATTCTGCTCAGTCTCCAGAATCGGTCATTCCTGAGTACCGAATGACCCAGGGATCCTGATGAGAAATTAGCGTGTGATCCTGTAATTAGACTTTTCCATAATGCACAAAAGGGCCAAAATAGCTTGAGCACACAACCTTAATTCTGACATTTCCATATTTCTGAGTGCTTGACTTTGGCACCTCCGTAATATTTTTATTGTTGCTTTTGCACACAGTATAAATACATACGATATAGTCTTAAGTCATTGACTAGTTTTCTGCTTAAGCTCTTTAATGTAAGTATAGCTTTAATTTTTCTGTGCTGTCAAAAGACTGCTTCATCTGCACAGACTTAATCAACACAAAAATAAAAGAAACAGATGGCCGCAAGCCAGCATTTGAGCAAGGCTTAGCTATGCATGATGGTGTGCATTTCAGACATGCATACAAGGAGGCACCAAATAGAAAGGGAAATAAAGAGAAGAGTCTTTGGGGGAAAAAAGGAACATGATTAGGGGTGCCCATATTGAGCACTATGAAGAGAATGAGAGATACTAGTTGCCCCAGTGATCTATGAAGTTGTATTGATCCCACTGAGAAGAACTACAGTCAGCACGCGTTAGGTAGCAACCAGTTTCATAACATATGGCAAAATAAATGATTCAACACAGTCTGTTCGTTCTGTTGCTGACCCTAAACACTGTCATAATGATACCTCTGGCTTGTTGTCTTGCTGAAGTTACTCACTGTTCAAAAGCAAGAAAGCCACCTTTGCCACCCTATGGAGTGCCAGAGACTCGTAGAATAACTGTGGCATGACAAGCTACTGGGATAATATTCACATAATTGTGATTAGGTCATTGTGACTCATTATCATGCACTGATGCCCGTCACTCTTTAATGCGTGTAGCAGGAAAGAGGATCAACGAAGTTCAATGGATTGCTTCTGTTTACTCATCCTCAGGACCACAATATACTTGCCAGGGTAACCATGTTTGTGTATCTTACGGCAGAGGTTCCCAGCCCCTGGAACGCAGACCAGTACTGGGCTGCAAAGGTTTGACTGCTGGTCTGCAGGAGGGTTGGCTGCCGGATTGGAAGTCGGGAAGCAACTGGCATACTGCAGACCAGCAGCCAACCCTTTTTTATACTGAGTATAAGAAAGGGTTGGCTGCAGGTCCGCAGTATGCTGGTCACTTTCAGGCTGCAGTTTGCCAGACCTCACTCCAAAAAGGTTGGAAACCCCTGTCTGAGGGAGCATGTGAAATTTTCCTGGAGTACACAGTAAGAGATTAACTTGTGCAGTTTTTCTTGAAGCTGGTATGGAAAGGATTTGATGATGTCTTGAGTTCAAGGAGTTTTTAGAAAACTCAACAATCAAACCTGCACTATACTTGTAATATACAGATGGCATTTTCATCATCTGAACTCAACACCTGGACTCACTCACTGATTTCCAACACAACCTCAACAAATACCACCCTACTACCAAATTCTCTCTGGAATACACTAACACTGGAATACTTTTGTGCGTCAATACCACAATCCACATTCAGAATGGTACCCAACAAACTACTGTACATAAAAAACCCATGGACCACCACCGTTACACCTCCACAAAATCTACAATCAGCCCAAACCCACCAACAAAGCTAAAATCTATAAACCAGATACTCAGATAAAACTGCATCTTCTCTGAGAAGAATACCTGTAATCGATACAACCTCAGCAACCTAAAAATTGCCTTTACCCAACAAGGACACTTCAGCAGAGTGACAGGTCCCTTCTTTGAATGAGCCATCCAAACACCTGCACAAACCTGCTACATGAAAAAAGAATCTCCACCAATCACACACCCTTAGTTGTCAGATGTCATCCCATACTTACCAACACATCTCTGCCATCACAACAATCAACACACCCCACAATGAAACCATCCGAATACATGGATCCGACATGTCTATCACAGAATGTGATGCATCTACCTAATGCACCAAATGCTGTCGTGGAAACTATATGGGTAAAGTAAACAAGCACTACACTCCAAAATGAATCCTCGTAGAAAAATGATATGAGACACACCAAATCGCAACCCCTCTTTAATGCTCTTATTTTTTTTTACATAGTTAGGTTAGCTTTTTAACTGCCCTTCACTTGTTCTGTAGCTACTTCTGAGAACTTCTCTTTGCTCCACAGTTTTGGAGCCCTCTTCCATGTCTTTAAATGACCATTTACACTTACATTTTGGAGTGGAACAAAAAGTTATTATTTTATCTGATATTTAGCTTAGGCTGGATCTGCTTCTTTCCCAGACCAGAAGAATGGACTTTGTGCCTGAAAGTTTATCTAGTACATATCTCTTCTAACTATACAGTTGGTCGAATAAAAGCTATCATCAAAGAACCTCTTGCTTCTTGCATATACCCACAACTATCATGACTATAATGCTCCAACCCTACTAGTTTTATGGCAGTCACTAGGAGCAACCACTAGAATAAACCTGCAAAAGCAGGCAGCTTTACATACTGTAAGTAGTTCTATTGAAACTAATGGGTCTATTCATGGTGCATAAATACATAGTAACCTTTTCCATGATTGGGGAATATATGTTTGTATAATGCCTAGACCATAGTGCCCAGATCAGTTATAAACATTACCACTACTGTTTCATTTTGACTGTATGATACATTCAACAATTATGTACTGACTAGGCAGTACAGGGCATTTCCATGAGATCCCTGGTACACATACCTAAATACACTTCATGAGCACTTTGCAAAGGCTCAGGTTTTTCCCAACTTATTCAGATGGAGCAGCTTTCACTGAGGGTAGTACAGCAAATTTCAGTAGGACAACTTGTGGTGTCAGATTCCATTCATATCTGGGAAAATTTGGTCTCTAAACAGTTTTGGTTTTTTTTGGTTCAAAGGGCTTCTCTGCTGGGGAAGCCTGAAATCTTCATAAGCCAGAAGGCTTCTTAAGCCAAACAGTTGTGTTGAGAGATACCTACAAGCTCAGCTTGTGAAACTGGACATTGTAAACAATGTAAACAAAACAGCTGTGTAGCTGTGAAGCTCTTAGCTTGTAACATTCAAACTTAATAAGACTGGATTTTTTCTTCTTTTTTTGTTTTCCCTTATAAAGGCTAAGAGATCTGAAAAACACTATTAATGCAGTCCTTCAGTTACAAGTTAAATCAATTTGGAAATGCAAAAGCTGAGGTTCTAGCAGCAATGTTAATGCATTCTGCACCTATATATTACTTCCTATGCTTGTTTACCTGATTAAATATGTTATATATTATCACTTTCATCAGCTCCATTCTGTAGGATGTTTATTACAGTAGAGTTAGCAATGTGATAAGGATCTTCATTTTTACCTTTCATGATTTTATCATTTCAGTCATACAGCTTAAATGATGCAGTTTTCCACATTTAATAATGAAATAAAGATAAATATGGAATTTTCATTTGAAGAACTCAGTGCTTTATAAAAAGCTGGCAGTAATTACTGTAATCTTTTTTTCAAACAGGCCACACTAAGCCATAAAGAGGTCAAACATCTTGCCTGGGGCATACACACAGAGCCAGTGGCAGAGTCAAATTTATAAACCAAGTCTCTATTGACTTCCTTTTTTTCTTAAAAGGGAGTTGGTCTGTTCAAAATTAGGAAAAGGAGGAATCCTTAAGTCAGTCTCTCTTTTAAGATGTGCTTCATGTTATGAAAGTTTCAGAACCTGTTTTACTGCGGTGCTTATAGTTATGCTTTTATTATTTTATTTTTGTACCACCTCCAACTCTATAATTTTTACCCACTGTTTATCTTTCTTGGTTTCTCTAGATGACTAATACAGATGTAAATGCCTCCTTGCAGGACCAATCAGCAGAAACAGTCCTTCCCTCTCAAGTCTCTCAGAATCTCTTAGTACGTCTTGTTTAGAAATAAAAAAAACCCTAAATGAACTAATACTAACAAACAGAACACACACCAAACATCACTGAACACCAATTGCATTTATTTTATCTATTATCACAATATATAGTCTCCACTGTTTGAGTATTTTAAGTACCCACAGCTATGCTAAGATATAGTTACATTGGACTATTAAAACTCTATGTGTCATACTGTACCATGTCACAGTGCAGCTCCAGGTTCAAGTCTCCTTTATTGGTGTGCAGCCGTATATAACCTTTCTTTTTCACATACTGGTACCGCACAACATCCTCATCAATGGCAGCTGCCCCAAAGCAAAGCCAAATATTAGCAGTCTTGAAATGTGTTCATTTGCATTTAGATGTCATGTGCAAACAAATTACCAGACAATGCTAGATGACTTTCTTTCCTAATGATTTAAGACCTCCAGATATAGTAAGTTCATACTAACCCTTACACACTATAATTTTTATTCTAGAAAGTCCTCAACTTGGCTAGAGTCAACAGGGTGACCTGTATTTTTAAGCCAGGTAACATTCAACAGTATATCCTGTAATTTTCCAACAGTGTCTAAAATTCATGGGAATTATTCTGAAATGAAATTGCTTCTTGCCAAACTTAGAACCTATGCAGGTAGTCATCAGCCAACCACAAATTGTTGAGAGCTGAGGATATAAACAGTTTTGAACCAAAGGAGCTAAGTCATCCAACTCATTACTGAGCAAGTCATGTAGAGGATCACTCTTAGAGATTTCCAGTTCATTTGTGTTAAAGCAGCTCCATTCCTAACAATTTTCTTATGTATTCAAAAATCTATCTTCAAATCTTTGAATAACAAAAAGAGGGAAAGATCCAGGAAATCCCACAAAGTAAAGAAAATTACTTTGGTAAATATGCAGTTAGAGCACTGGCTTCGGGCTTTAACTAAGCATATCAGATTCCTCAATCTTTGGTCCCAAGAGCTAGAGTTTCATCTTGTACTTAAAAGTAATTTGCCAAACTACTTAATCAGCACCAACATTAAGATAATTCTGTGCAGTTCTGCTTAAATTGGAGAATGAGAGGAAAGAATTGTCATTTAAAATGCATCTTTATGCAGGAGCAATTTTAAACAGCATTAAGTCAAGATGTCAACAAACAAATCCTAACATAATTTTGACTAATATGAGAAGGTTTTAAAGCCAAAGAGAGACAGTAAACTTTTTATACTGAAACTCAGAAGAAATCATATTTCATTGCTAACCTGCATAAATAGGCATCTCATTTTGTGGTCCACAGGCATAGAAAAATCCTCATTAATTTTAGTCGAACAAAAGTACGTGCCAATTAGAGCCAAAACTAAATTCACAATTCCCATTATCTTCAGAACAGTATCAACAGAAACCATGGCTATAGCTCCATAGAGCAGGGCTGTCCAATCTGCAAGGCAATGGGTCTGTAAGCCTGGTGAGCTGCACCAGAGGGGGTGCTGCCTCCACCACTGCACTGTGTGCAGGCACCCCAGCCTCACCCTCAACACCCTGGGCCATGGGCTCCCCTAGCCTCACCAGCTGTAGCATCCCATGTCACGACATCCCTCTGTGCCACACCACCCTGTCCCTGAAACTTCAGGGACAGGGAGCAGATTGTGGAGGACAGAGGGGGAGACCACAGACCTTGGCTGCTGCTGGATGGATGAAGCCCATGGGCTGCCAGCTGAATATGCCTGGCAGAGGGAATAAGAATTTAAGATATCATGTACTGACCAGATAATCACAGTGCACACTTGCAGTCCCTGAAAATGCTCACATCTTGGAGAGTGTACTTTAGCTACAGATTTTGTGAAAATATAGGGATCTAGGTTACCTGCTTCATGTGTAGTTTCTGGCACCATCGCAGTGGATGTGAATGAGGCACTTACTGTTCCTGTGGAATAGTGAGCCTGTACAAAGATAGAAAAAAAGCAAGAGGGAAAATTAGTTTTACAAGAACTGGAGAGACACCATTACAGCACCTCTCCCAAACTCTGTCCATAAATTCATCCTTCTATTAATTTTGATGTACACCTAAAAAATTCGCATGGGGAAAACATCCTTACAAATGTATCTAAATATATCATTAAGATTAAGCAAAGCAATTAACCAGCTGTTGGAAAAGTAGCTGCAGACCTTCTAGTTGCTGAAAAGAAATTAGAATTTTGTCTGTACTTAGCATAAAATCCTGATTTCAAGAATACAGTGGGAATTTTGCTATCGTCTTCAACAGAGCCAAAATTTTACCCATTAATTCTACAATGCTTTTAATGTCAGCACTCTGAAGTGTCCTGATAGACAAATACAGATGTACTGACTCCTTCAGCTAATGACAGATCCTCACAATCCCACAAAAGCTACCTGAGTGTTCAGAATGTTGGAACGATTAAGTATTACAGCTGTGCAAGCTTCAGTCCCCGATTTAATTCAGCAGAGATTCGGCCTGATTTGGCGGCCAAATCTCTGAATCCAGATCGAATCAAAGGACCCTTTAATCTCTCTCAATTGAATCGGAACCCTCCGAATCAATTTGGAGAGATTCGGAAAGATTTGGCAATTCGGACATAGACACAGCTTTAATTTTTTTTCTACATACCTCAAGTTATCAGGTGCCTCATGAGTGCTGCGATGCTGGGGCACATGTAGTGTCCCACAGAAGCATGAGGGGCTCCCCAGCACGCCCGGCAGCAGACCCGGAGTGGATCAGAAGCATTTCCAGCCCACTTCCGGGTCTGCTGGGGAACACAATGGCCCCCCCCCCCGTGCTTCCACAGCTCGGTGACTGATGCCTCCTGAGTCTGGGGGGGCACCTGGGGTCCCCCCATAGCCAATTGCCGAGCTGGGGAGGTGCAGGGGGGCCCCCCAGTGTGCTCCTCGGCAGAGGACCAGTACTTCTAGTTGATTTCCAGGTTCACCGCCGAGCATGTGGAGGGCCTCCCCCACTCCTGTGGGATGCTCCATGCACCCCAGCATCACAGCGATCATGAGCCATGCCTGCTACCTCAAGGTATGTAGAAACAGCTTTAAAAGTTTTTTCTATGTCAGAATTGCTGATTCTCTGAATCAGCATCGAATCTTCAGATTCAGATTCAACCCAATTGAATCAGGGACAGTGATATGAATCAATTAATCGAATCACTGTCCCTGATTTGCGCCGAATTTGAATTGAATAGGGCTGGCTTCGCACACCCCTATTAAGTATTCACTAGGGACACTGAAAGTACTCAAATGTGCACTTGCAGTTTTCTCTGTACTTATTCAAATCTGGCAAAACATCTATACTTTGCAGAAGACATTTCAACAGCAGCTGGAAGATGCTGTCATAAACTGAAGCTCTGAAAACAAAGTCTACATTCATATTTTCTAGTGAACACTCTCTTGTCAAAAAGTAAACAAAGCCAGTCTAACTATGCATCATGGTGTGCACTTGCTATCCTGTGTTCTTCATAGGTTTTTGTATCTCAGATCAGGTTTTTCTGTTGCAAAGATCAAGCTTATTTATCTCCTTTATTAGATCAGTGGGAGTTGATAATGGCCCCCAGGGCCCTTATCATTCTTGCTTTCTCTGCTGAGATGCCAGGATGAGTGCCTGCTGTTGTGGCAGATTCAGTAATGCTGAGGACCTCTGTTCTTTTTTAAGTGAACCAAGTCCTATCGCCTGGTTTGCAACTGACCTGTGAACTTTTGGTTGTTATTAACCTGACTTGGAATCAAAACAGCAACCTGGACATGAGAGAGGCTATTATCCCTACTAGTAGTCCCTTGAGCTGTCCAGCCCCCTCTAAAAATGACAGCTTTTGTACCCAACATGCAGTTTGTAATTTTCTGGAATAACCAGTTGTAGAGGGGGCAAAGATTAAGAATTAAAGATATTCTGGCCATAGGTTACTAGTCAAAAAAAAGCCAGAAGCAGCACATATGAAACAGCACAAATCACATGAAGAGCCTTGATCACTAGTTCAGCTGCACTGCTGATATAATCAGCAAAAGACATTTAATCTGCTACCTCTAAGAAAGCTATCATAAAAATGATTAGTTTAAGTGATTTGATATGAGTGTTGTCTCTCACTACATTAGACATGTTTTTATTCCATACTGAAAATTGCTTGCAAAATTAGATATTATACAGAGGATGGGCAGTATCTTGATTTAAAAAAAAAAAAAAAGATATTTATATACACACACATCTATAGATATATATATCTATATATATTTCTGCTCCCCCATTGTCAATAAAGGAAAGTAAATCTGTTTGTTTCTTAAAAAACAGTTGCTAAACTAAATGCAAGATGTGGCATGTTACTATACCTTGCTGCACAGTGACACAGCCCACATTTACCTCCCTCTATGGGAGAAGTAATGTTAGTAATGCTACAGGAAAACATGCTGTAGCATATTTTCTTCCCTGCATCTGCCACAGCAGCAGCTGCGGCCCCCCAGCTTGCTGC